CAATTTCACACTCGTAGACGTGAGATATGGCTGTATATTTGCACGCTGTGATTACCTGCGGCCTACGGCCGAATCACAGCCGTGCTGACTTACAGCCATATCTCACGTCTACGAGTGTGACATTGCTCATATATAATACCTTTAACTCAAGAGATATAGCCTATACAAAATTCTGTCCAGAAAAATAATTTAGAACTTAGAACTTTTTTTTCATTTCAGCTAGTTACCATACCAACATTATAATGTTCATTTAGTTTAACTTGATGTACTAAAATAACTAAAAGTGAAAGTGAAATAAACATGAATAAAAGCTCTACAGACAATTAAAAAAAACTAATAAAAGTGGCAAAAACACACAACAAAATTAATAACTTTAAGTAAAATGAAAATGGTTTTAAAATGAAAACTAGCCTAATTCAAAATGTAAATAAAAACTATAATAATATCCCAATGATATTAAAATAACACTGGGCAAAACTAGCAATATCCATTATCAAATCGTATGTTGTTCTGTTGAATTATATTTATTGAATTATTATATTCACTGTTAGAAAGACAAGTTTTATTTAAAAGTTCAATAAATGCATGAAGTTCCTAAAGTGGTGACTGAGTAATCTCAATATTGACCAAAATAATTGTGATTATGATTTTTGCCATAATTGGGCATCGGGTTCAGGGCTATGATGTAAATTAAAGGCTATAACATGTGACAAATTCCTGTTTAAATAGGAAATATGTCAACACAGGTAAGAACACTTTTTTTTTTCATTCAATGTTTAAGAATAAAAAAACATGGACTCAATAACGACCCCATCTGCTGGCTTTTGGAAAATTCTTGTAGATTTGTACAATTATGCTTTTAGGAAAACACATTTTACTGTTATATCCATAAACTCATAACAGATGCTTAATACATAACAATAAAATCTAAAAATGATCACTTCCACTGTAATTTATAAATTTTTTACTATTTATTCTTCATTCTGTATACATTTGTATTGCTTTTGAGAAATCTTGTTGAAGCTAACTCTTGCCACCATGTTAGGATGTTGTGAGTGGTTGCCAGGGCATTGCCATGTGGTTTTTAGGGTGTTGTGGTTGGTTTCTAGGTGGTTGTTTACTGCCTATAAGTCAGAAGAGCTCAAAAGTCTCTCCTTCAATGTAAGAACATATGATTTTTTTTTGTTTCATCGTCTATTTTTGTCTATAGTATCATGGTCAGATGGCATCATGGTGTTTTATTCTGGAATGCTCTCATATTAAACACCACCACTGTTTAATCTCACAGTTTGTGGCATTTTTTTCCAATTCACCTTTGCCCACAGTGGTTGTCTCGTGTATTGTGAGGTCGGACCAATGCCTTTTAAAAATATTCTTTTGGCAGCCGCCCTAGTTTAGTTTGCTTTATCCGTTAAGTCTAATCTGCATTCAGATCTCCCCATTAGAATTAAAAACATGTCCGGAAATATTATGGCGATATTATTACAGGAAACCAGCTTTCAGATGATAGACTGATAGTATATATCTGCAATGCACAGAATTCAGAAAATCATCTTTGCCTGTTTAAACGTGAAACAGCTGTGCTCTGGCAGATGTACTATATTATATAACCCTATGTATTTGGCCTAAGTCACAGGATTTTCATTAACACGCAGAGACAAAAATTCCAACAGGAAAAATGCAACAAATATGGAGACTCAGTAAATATACAAAAGTATAGTGATAGTGATGTGGCTCATACTTTATTGTACTTCATTGTTGAGTGGCATATACTAATTAGCCTGCATGAAGATGTACATGTGAAATAAACAATGCAAGAAAACCAGTTGTACATATGTACAGTACTATCCTCATAAATACATGAATACAGCTCTATCCGTCTCCATGACAACGAAAGACAGTAATGGTCACATTGTTTTGTATAAATAAAGAAAGCACAAATAAATACACAGTGTGATGTAATGGGTGGCTCCATATAGCTGTTAATGCAGCACAACTGAACATATGCTGCATTTAACTGAATCAGTATATGTCAAGCTTTCAGTGACTAGTGTTTTATTGAACAACGAAGCAGTTTGTCTTTGTCACTTCAGCCTATGTGTGATATTTACAGTTTGAACAGTAGAAAAGAAATACAGCATACAGCTGAGGTCCTTCTTTGCACTATAAATAATAGAAATAAATATGTAAAAAATGATTCAAAACACTTTTTACAAGTTTTCTTTTTTGTATGAAGATTTAGGTTTAATCAGATGAAAGCCAAGAAGTATTTTTGTCATTTAAGTTACTCATTTTTTAAAATAAAGTAAATAGTAGTGCAGTATAAACACAGTAATACAATAGGAAAAAAAGGTATTTTCTGTAGTACTTTAAACATTTTAATTTTAATAATTTTGAATATGTACAGTGGGTTTAGAAAATAATCACACCCCTTTAAAATGATCACATTTTGTTGCTTTGCAGCCTGAAAGATGGACACAGTTTTTGTTTTATCCAGCTGTATTTACTCAGTGCACCTTATAACATCCAAGTGAAAGATATAACACCAACATGTCAGAAAAAAAAAAAAAAACTGAATCAGAATACAGCTGGATAAAACAACAATTATGTCCATCTTCATTTCAGGCTACAAAGCAACAAAATGTGATTATTTAAAGGTGGGTGATTCTTTTCTATACCCGCTGTAAGTTTTATTTAAATGTTGGTTAAAATTGATGACGTTAAAAGTTTAGGCAATAATTATGTAATTTCAGTTCATAATGTCATTCAAACCCTAATCAGCTCTGTGTTTGTAAACACATGGGCGGAGTCACCACTAGGAAAACCTGTGATTGGATGAAGGCATTTGTTGTTCGTTGGTTGTCACTGTGTTGCCAGTCGCAGTGTGGCTGACCTTTTAAAAGTCTAGGTAACATCAAAACCTTCCCTGTTTGCTTTCTGAATGCACATGCCTGATCTTATTGTGAACAACTTATTATAGTCTCTTAATA